TAATTAATGTGTATGTATTTCTTTTTTATTGTACCGTGCAGCTTAATATGTTTGGTTTTTTTGATTGTTTTGCCATCAGTCGCTGTCATGGCATTATTCGCATTTTACTGTGTGCCAAATGTACTGTTCTCAAAGGATGTGAATGTGCATTGTTTGGTTTGTAATATATTAAATAATATGTCAGAAATATTGATCTTTTGAAGTTCCAATTTGTGAATAATTGTTTATATATTTATGTAATGCAAAAAGTTGGACAAGACAGTAGTGTTTGAGTTTATGCAGCATTAATTTAATTAAAAACATGATACAAATATAAAACAACTGTAAAAAATCCTGTTTGCCTTAAGTTTTTAAGCTGAATCAAATTAACCTTATGAGTCCTTTGAGGTTATATTATGTTAAACCGACTTAAAACAGCTTGCGTAACCTATAAAATTAAACATGATTCACTTAGTTTAATAAGTTACAATGAAATAAAAACTTATGCTGTTTTTTTTATTACATTTTATTTTATTTAAAAAAGTTTTTAATTTTTATTTTATTTTATTTATTTTATTTTATTTTATATTTTATTTATTTTTATTTTATGTTATTTTGTTTTGTTTTATTTAAATTATTGTTTATTTTCTTTTATTATTTTCTTTTATTATTATTTTTTATGTTATTTTAATTTTATTTTATCGTATTTAAGTTTTTATTTAAATAATATGTCAGTTGCCATGGTTGCCTTAAGTTTTTAAGCTCATCAAATTAACCTTTTGAGTCCATTGAGGTTATATTATGTTAAACTGACTTAAAACAGCTTGCGTAACCTATAAAATTAAACATGATTCACTTAGTTTAATAAGTTACAATGAAATAAAAACTTATGCTGTTTTGTTTTTTTTTATTAAATTTTATATTATTTTATTTATTAATTTTTTTATTTAATAAATTTTTTATTTTATTTATTTTATTTTATTTTATATTTTATTTATTTTTTATTTTATGTTATTTTTTTGTTTTATTTTATTTATTGTTTATTTTCTTTTATTATTTTCTTTTATTATTATTTTTTATGTTATTTTAATTTATTTTATCGTATTTAAGTTTTTATTTAAATAATTTGTCAGAAATAATGATTTTTTGACGTTCAAATATGTAAATAATTGTTTATATATTTATATAATGCAAAAAGTTGGACAAGACAGTAGTGTTTGAGTTTATGCTGTATTAATTTAATCAAAAACATGATACAAATATAAAACAACTGTATGAACAGGGTGACCCTACAGAGAACTGTGTTGAAAATTAAGGTCATCATGACCAAAACCAAGAGTGAAGGATTTTTTCTGTCATATGTGACCTTCCCAGTGGGCTTGTCCGAGGACATGAAAAAATGCAGATGCTTGCCGTCAATTGCTTTACAGTTTACACACTGGTCTGTAAAAGAGTTTTTGAGATTTACTTTAAGGTTAAAATACACAAGACACATTTTGGACAAAGTTTTGCTTCAATTTAACAGGTTGGAACATGCCATATGCTGTCCAGAAGAGTTCTGAAAAATTATACTTAAGTAAAAGTACCATTACTTGCCTAAAACTTTGTGCAAGTAAAGTAAAATATCACTCAAAGTACGAGTAAAAAGTAACCCTTTTCGAAGTACTCAAAAGTAGTGAGTATTACTCTGTAAAAACCTGATTAATTTACTTGTAATTTGTGTGTAAACGTAACATTCTGTAGTGCAGTGGTTCTCAAACTGTGGTGTACTATTAGTGGTACGCTGGCTTTCTTCTAGTGGTACACAGAGGAATCAAATATGTCATATGTAGATGCAACATATATTTCAAAATATATCAAAAATGATTTTTATATGGATATGATGACATATAGCCTACATTTATGAGGTCAAAATTTCCAGGTTTTGATGAATAGGCTACATTTTTTTTTTTTTTAATGAACAGTAGCCTACCATTTTCAATGAACTTTTAAAAGCACATTTTAATTTAAACGTTGACATTTTATTTTGTTTGTTTGTTTGTTTTTACCTTTAAACACAGTAGAGTGTTAATGTTTATGTTCAATCTGTTTATAATGTTTAAAGTGGCTGACAATAATAAGGTTTCTTAATAATAGGAATTAAACTGCCTTGTTTTTGAACTGTGCAGAGGTGGTATATGATGAAAAAAAATTGAGAACCACTGCTGTAGTGTATTTAGTATTGCCCAGCAGGCACAGAATGTCATAAGACATTAATATTGTTAGATTTAGGTCGTGACATCAGGTGTCCAAAATTCAACGTATAGCCAGCGTTTAAGGACAACGTTTTTTTGTTGTCCAATAAGGATGACAAATGATGTTGATATTTGGTTGATTTTAGGTTGTGTTAGAAAGTGACCATAATACAATGTAGAGCCAACATCTTAAACCATAGACGTCAAATACTGAAATTTTTTCGTCAGGTATGGCAACCAAAATCCAACATCTGATAGACGTCATTAGTGGTAGCGTCCACCTAACATCAAGCTGGAACATTGTTGATTTTAGGTTGGATGTTGTACATTGATGTTGGCCCTACATTGGGTTCTGAAGTCAACACGATTTTCATTTCCAAATAAAATGTAACATCCAACGTTGGGGTTCAACGTCAATCTGACGTCATGTCGACATCTCGTGCCTGCTGGGTGTTTAAGGCCATAGTATCTTTGAAATCCAGAACTCCATTGGTGTGGAAATATTGAGTTATCAACGCAATTTTTTGGGTTGCTACAAGTTAAATATTGTTTTAAACTAATTGACAGATATATTTATCTTTAAATTACCCACTTTTTTAAGTTGATGTAATTATCAATATTTTCCTGTTGTGTAAACTTAATAAAATTATTCTGGCAATGTAAAAGTTTTAATATAATCAGCAATATAGAATTTTTAAGTTACAACAGTGTAAACTATGTAGTGGTAAAAGATCGCTTGAGTTATTTTTAGAGTGCATTTCATTCATCACACAGTAAACATCCATCATCTTCTCATCAGTGCATGCATCTCTGGCTCAATGCGTGTAGATTTTGAACATCTTCTTTTAGACACTTTTAAAGCTTCAAAACAGTTTGCTGCGCTCATATGAAGTAGTTCATTATGATGCTATTTATCCCTTTACTTCTATGTGTGATTTGATTAGACAGGAATCACAGGACTGATTTTTCTAATCCCCATAGACAGGAAAAAATAGAGACTTCAGGTTGAAGGAAAGTAGTAAAAGTATTAATACAGCACTAAAAATGTACTCAAGGGAGAGTAAAAGTACACATTTATAAAACGACATATTAAATTACAATTCCTTAAAAAAAACTACTCAATTACAGTAGTTTGAGTATTTGTAATTTGTTACTTTATACCACTGATGCTGTCATGGGGACGCCTTTAATGTAGTTCAGAGATACACAAAGAATTTAACAATGAAAACTCATTTTAGTAAGTATGGGCATTTCCTCTGATCTGAAAAGTAAATTGTTAACAAAAAATACCTAATTTAAATATGTTAGCTATAGTTAGAAAGCCAATAATAGTTTTCTAAAATAGTTGTGCAGCTAAAAAGACAGAACACTACAGTAAAACTAATCACAAATAAAACTGAGTGAACACTGATTATCTACAACAACAACAAAAACATTTGTTTTATAATAAGATTTTGCTTACTTTTTTTATTTTTTATTTAAAGCATACATACAACTCAATATAAAAGGTGAACATAAAAACTAATAATAATAGTAAAAAAAGAAAGAAATATAAATAATTTTTTTTATTATTTAAATACACAAAGCATAGTGTACAGCATGCACAAATCCAATGATCTTGAGAATTAACAGGAGATTCAAAAAAACTGTTATAATAATTGATACATATCTCAGATTTTTTGCTTTTCAACAATTTTTCAATAGAAGTAAAGAAATCAAAACCAATACAAAAACTGTTAATGAGGGAGATGGTTAATTTCTGTTTGTAAATGTGAAGTTTTGCCCATAAAATAAACATATTAACAGTATATTCGAGATTTCTGTTGGGTTTGTTTTCAGAATTTAAATATAATATATTTCAATGTAAAATAATAACCAATTTTTGTTATTTTAAAATATATATTTGGCTAGATCCTTCCAGAAACTATTGACAATGCCGTGTTCAAAAAGTAAATGGCAAAGGCCCTCTTTATCTGCACTGCAGAAACTACAGATGTATTTCAACTTTGATAATAAAGATTTTATTGAGTAAATTCATTCATTCATTCATTTTCTTTTCAGCTTAGTCCCTTTTTTTATCCAGGGTCGCCACAGCGGAATGAACCACCAACTTATCCAGCATGTTTTTACGCAACGGAGTTCCTTTCAGCCGCAACCCATCTCTGGCAAACATCCACACACACTCATTCACACATACACACACACACACACACACATGCACACACACACACACACACACACACTACAGACAATTTAGCTTACCCAATTTACCTGTACAGCAAGTCTTAGGACTGTGGGGGGAAACTGGTGCAAACCCACGCGAACGCAGGGAGAACATGCAAACTCCACAAAACTACCACTGGGTAAATTGTGTGTAGTATTTTAAAATAAATTTCCTTAATTTTATCATTAATAGAGCATTTGAAGGGAGTCACCCAGACTCTTTTCCGATGATTGTTAACTATAAAAGAGCTCCAGAAAAATTTGCCTCTTGGAGTAATTTTATTTTGCTTCTAAAAATATAACGAATGTGTTTGTTAGTACACTTTTCATTTTGTTTACTTTTTCCTTAAGTTCTGTAGAGTTGACATTGCGGTCAAGGTGTCATTGCCTTCAACAAAACCATGATAATTCACGGTGAGGTTGTTAAATTATCAGGCTTTGGAGAAAGTAGACCGCCAGAAACATAACGCAGGAGTAAATGTTGCTGTCAGCGCTGACGGTGGGCGGTTCCTAACGGCGGCTTTAGCCATTCAGTGAGCTGTAATTGATTGCTCAGCTGTCAAGCGCCCTTCAGTGAGGCTCTGCGGTCTGTGAACTTCACTGACCGCAAAACAAGCGAGTTACTCCCTCACCGCGACGAGCCTCACCGCGCTTGGATTTTACAAAAGTGGGAGACTGTACAATCCTCAGCAGTGTTCTGAGACTGTACAGTCGCTTTTGCCTTAGTGGACTTTACAGCAATTTCACGTTCAGCTGTGCGTCGTTCACTTTAACGCGTGTTTGCGGTGGTTTGGTGCGTGTCTTTGCACGGAGAGCTGGTCCTGTTGCACTGCGGGAATTACGCGAGAACGGCGCGATGACAGCTGAGAAAGAGAAGAAGAGGTGAGTTCGAGTCATATTCCCCTTACTGTGCTAAGTTGTAAACAGTGCAACTGTTGCGCACAGTTCAGGTTTATGGATCTGCAGCAACAAGTGAATCTCTGTATGAGACAATCGCGTTGCTGCAGCTCTAAATCAGAGACGCTTCAGTAAGACAACCCTTACTTGGTTCAGATCTACAGCACTTAAAATGATTTTTTTTAAACTAGATTGGTTAGATTATTAAAATGATGAGTTTTTCAATAAGTTGGTTTGTTAAGTCTAGGCATGTTGTTATATTTAATGAAGACTACATTGTAGGCTACTTATCAATTAACCAACATCAATTGATAGGAATGTAACTGTAACTACATTTTGAAATATATATGTTGATCCTTTTTAAAGAATATCTAATTTAGTAATAATTTTAAATGGTGTGGTGGCCCTAATATATTATATTAATATATTATATTTAAAAATTATGAAAATTAAAAAAAATACACATAATTATAAGTACTTTTATCCAAAATTATTAATAACAGTACATTGTAAAACATCGTAACACTATAACAGTTTGGCTCCATGTTTTTTTGTGCAATTGCTACTTCGTTCTACCTGAATTGCTTTTTTATTTTCAATTTAATTTTCTGTATTGTAAATTAAGTAAACATTTACAGTTTAGGACTTTACCATTACTTTGATTTAGCAAAACATTCCAGGTAGAAATAAACTTTTTGGTCCCTTATTTAAACTACAGTTTCAAACAAAATAAAAGTTTGTGATGGAGCATATACTTATCAGACAAATATATTTAAAACAAACTAACTGAATTTGCATGGCCTAAAAATGTCTGGTTATTTGTTGTTATGTCATGTATATCTGTGAAGGTTGAAGACCAATTTTTTTAGTGCACTTACTCTGATGATTCAAAGATGATTCCTTACATTTACTAAATTTATTTGAGTTAAGTGGATGTAAACATTTTATTTGGGCTGAGTTTAATCAAACAAATTTAATCAATATAAAATAAAAACAAAAATGTAACATTACTCAATTTAATTTGTTTGTTTAAATAAAACAGATATAAATTGTTTGCAACCGCTTTGCAGATTTTTATTTTTTTATTTTTGGTGTAAGAGTTCTGTTAATGAGAGTAATGATTTAATGAAGTAAATATCTTTTTTTTTTGTCTGTATCTGTGTGTGTGACGGCTTTGAGAGCGCCTTTAAGTCTGCCTCATCCTCGTGACATGTTCTTCCCTAACAAGCTTTCTGGCCCTTATCTGATGAATCTCAAGGAACATAACCAAACATTGAAACTACACTCAAATAGAGAAAATGTATCCATCTACAAAAACTGTACTGATTCAGAAGAGGTGTGAATCCTACTTTAAACATCAAGACACTGATCACACTGAAATGTAATGCAGAAGGGGGCATATGCATGTGCTTACAGTTCATGCGCGTACTTTGATGTGTGTAGATGTGTTTTTCCACAGTGAACCCATTTGTTTGGTGGTTTACTGGTAGGAGGATATAGATTAGCTCATCCCCGACATGGTGTACATATATTCTTACATGTTTGTGTTCTTATTCATGGTCTGTATATTAGCCAGAGCCCCTTGTCATGGCCCCGTATACTGTTGATGCATCTCAAGCTTCAGTAGGTTTGGTTGTGATGCGTCAAATTTACTTTTTTAAAATAAAAACAAAACTGTAATTAAAATTTTCATTTAGCAAAAAACGAAAATGAAATCTAAAAAATGAAAGGCTTGCATCAGAAAAGCAGCAGTTAAACAACTAACTATTTCATAAAGAGATTTTTTTTGGAGCGAAACCAAAAACATTTTCAGTTTCCTAAATTCTGGTGCATCCGCCTATATGTTAACAGAACTGCAATTATGTACTGTTTGCAACAACAAGGAGCAAGAGGAATAACAATGCCTCTGATTACACCATTGTTATGATAATTATAAAATGTTTGCGCTTGTCAGTAGAACTGAATAGGTGACTTTATGATGGTCAGCGTGGGCTCTTTTTTTTTTCCTTGACACTTGTTGTAGTTCTCCATTACGTCACCTTGAATCATCAGGCTTTGTCTGTGGTTCATTCTGTGCTCAAGTTTGGAAACGATCAAGTGGCTCATTTACGAATAGAAAGGCAGTGCTTTGTGATGGGCTCTATTAACTCCCTCATGCAGGCTGAGAGCTGGCATTAGTCTGCTGTAACTTGTGCAGTGTTTCAGAGCGCTGTGTCGTGCACTGCCAATCCTAACTAGTTACCTGTGGCAAACGACCTGAATTCAAAACTCTACATTCTCATTTAGAGTCCGTGTTTATAGGTGCCAAAGCATGAAAATCCTAATATACACTACTGGTCAAAAGTTTGGGGTCAGTTTTTTTTTTTTATGTTTGTTTTCTTTAAAAAAATATTCTGTTCATAAAGGTGGCATTTATTAATTAATAACACTATTGTTATTTAATATAACATTTTAAATAGGTAAATATTTATCAAAATATTTAATAACTGCTTATTTATTGTTTGTAGTTTCAAATGAAATTATTACTCCAGTCATTATTGCTTTTATTGCCATTACCATTAATAATAATAATAATAATAATAATAATAATAATAATAATAATAATAACAATAATTATATTAGAGGTATTTCTAAAGGATCATGTGACTGAAGACTGGAGTAATGAAGCTGAAAATTCATGTTTAAAATCACTGAAATAAATTATTAAATTAAATTATAAACTGTTTTTGAACAGTTTTATAGTGCAATAACATTTCACAATTTTCAATTTGTACTGTATTTTTGATTAAATAAATGCAGCCTTGGAGAGCAGGAGAAGCTTATTTTTAAACATTTAAAATACTGAGCCCAAACTTTTGACCGGTAGTGTACCTATATATGTAGGCATAGATAAATAATAGCTCATACCATGAGTCTCAAACGCCATTATTTCCTTGTTCTTGTGTAAATCCTGTGAGTGAAAAATCTTGAGAAAAACAGAACAATCAGAACAAAACACAAACTCTAATGATCCACACGGGATCGTTAATATGCATGTACAGTAACAGGCAGTGCTTGATTTGGTTGTAAAGTTTCAAAGTGAGATTATAATACTGACTTTATCAAAGCTTGTTTTATGCGTAGTACCATGTATGTGAGACTATTATTTTGAAATCGAGACCAGTGTAATGCAACATTTAATATCTCCTATATCACAGCTTGTCGCCAGAACTCAAAATTTGGGAGATGTAAATTATAAATTCATTCAGGATCCTTAAAGAGGAGTAATTTTTTTGTTTTTGTATTGAGGCAACAAACACATGTAGAACGCTGGATATCAGTGTTTAATCCAGGTTTATGAATCTTGTCAAATGACTCAGCTCTTACTGATTTTTCTGGAGGGAAAGTAACAAACTTTATAATACCCATCTTTCCATGTGGAGGTTGATATTAATTCCTGCCTCTGTTTCGCTAAAAACTTAAAACCACAAATACAACTCTGTTGGCTTTTTATAGTCAACTTCAGTTTAATTTAGACAATATTTCATCTACAGCACAACTCATGACTCGGATAATATTTTACCCTCATCATTGAGTAAAATTTTTTTTTATTGCTGGTGTGTACAAATATATATTCAGTTTTATGTTAATTTCTGTAATTTGACAAGACAAAATTAAATTGTTTATATGATTTATGTACAACTAGGCATTGCCTGGTGTAAGTTTCTGATGGTACGCTTTAACAGTATCATAATATTGTGATTACTGCTCTAAAATAAGTTCTTTATAAATGTCTGGGAAAAAAAACGTTTCCCCCATTTAACAAAATACATTTTATTTTAGAAATATTTTAAATAAATACCTTAAGAATGGTATAACAGAAAATTTTAGCGGTTTTAAAACCTTGACTTTTCAAAACTGTAAAAAAAACCTAAAGCTTATCCTCCCATGCACAACACCGTTTGTAAAATAATATAATAATAAATAATAATTCTGCCTTTTTGTATATTATTTGAGATACTTACTTTGTTTACCAAACAAGTTGTTCTAATTCGATTTTCATTGTAATCTCTAAGTAAGTAAATAAATAAATAAATAAATAAAAAACATTAACTTTTATTTCATGTGTTGAGTTTCTTGATACTCTACGTTCGGCTTAAATCACCAGATATTTTTTTATTAAATTCTATACAGCCAAAAATGGGCCCTACTCATGAATAAAATTTCATTTTAACTTCTATTAGCTAAAATAAACCCCTCTACCTCTTCGGTTGAAAAGATTGTCAATTAGCAATCTTTTCAATTTGTTAAAATATTTTTTGACAACTGAAGATGATGATTTTTCATGTGTGCTTCAGTGACACAAGCTGCAAAGCTCATAGTATTCACAACCTTTCCAAATATGGTCAAAGGGGTAGTTCCTGTGATCACAGATACGCATTATTACTGGAGAATTTTTGCACTTACCTAAAAGGCTGGTGTACACGCTTTAAATTCTATTGGTCAGAAGATTGTACGTCCATGTCACGAGTAGGTTTATTTGAAAATCTTTGGAATGCAGTGAAATACAATCCGATTTTATGACCCTGCTAATTCAGAAGCAATCATATGAAGTTGCACGGTAAAAATATGGACAGAGGAAATGTTTTTATTTCTTCTTGTTTTCCTCACACGTTACAATCCACAAACATACAAGCATCAAACATTTCTGTGATTTCTCCATATGATCATACCATCTGTGACCACCTTAAGCCACATTTTTTATAATCTAGATCTTAGAGAACAATTTAACTTATTGAATTAATGCACCCGATGGCACCTTTAACTACAAAAAGACAGATGGTAACTTAGTGAATGTTGCAAAAACAGTCAATTCCAGGCTCATTAGATAAAATGTATCTGTGGCAGTGAATGACTTGCTTTAATCCTTGCATATGTCATGACACTTTCAAAGTAAAATGTTCAGTAGGCACTGTTTGTCTATTATTACGCTGCTTGTAATAAGT